TATGAGAAGTTTCCTGTAGATATTTGAGGCAAGCAAGATGTTGGATTAAGTAAATCTTTGACCTGATCCAGCTGAGTTTCTCTTTGCTTTCGAACTGAAAGAGAACTCAAAGCATTCTGCCGCTACCATTGCTTCTACACGGGGAGCGTGACAATATGACCTGAGGCTCAACAATGTACTTAGCATCATACACCGCAGGGGCTTCAGATGACTCTGCAGTGGAATTCAAAAGACATTTGTGCTAGCTGCTGCCTAATCTCATCTGGCTCCTGTGTTAACGATTGGTATCTCTGTTCCTCTTGAATAGATCCCAAACCCTAAGCCAAAAGATTCAAGACAGATCTGCTTCTGCTTCTGATACCGACTTGTTCTTCTCACTCTTGTAAGAGATGATGGCAAACTGATTCCAGTGCCGTGCTTAGAACTCAGAAACTCAGAACCAGCTTAGAATAAGAGCCAGGTCCTACCAGCCGAATCAACAGAGTTCTGAAGGAATGGCATCCTATCCTACCTTTATTCTTAACATTAACACAGTGCGCATACAGTAAGTTGAGGGTCAAGATTTGTTCTCCGAGCTTGTGGGTTGGTTTCTGAATGTTTTGTTACCAGACTAGGTAACAACTTCAGCGGAGTTTCAACTCTGCCAAAGATGTTACCTAGCTTGGTAAGAAAAGGTTCGGAAACCAACCCACAAGCTCGGAGAACAAATTTTTACACCCAAAGCTATAGATATTCGCCACTATTGCAAAACATACAGTAAGTCTTAACCCAACTCCTGGAATAAAGCCTTTACATGTCATGTGATAGGATTTGAGTAAAAACAAAAAGGTACTCGCTTCTGCTTTTATCAAGAACATTCAAAGGTTATGTGGGCCATAATGGAGATGAAAAGAAATGACATCATATCATGACAGTGTTTCTCTCTTGCTCATAAGCAGCAGCCTAATATTAAGTTAGACAGCAGACAGGAAGATCAGCTATCAGCTCAGATGATTCTCAATCATCCAGGTCATGGTTGTCCCAAAGGTGCTTTTTCAAAAGGCAACTGGACCAGTGGTGGGTTGCCCCCAGTTTATTTATTTATTTATTTATAATTTAATTTATATTCTGCCCTTCTCCCGAAGGACTCGGGGCGGTGTACAGCCAATTAAAAACACAAGGTACAAACAACAGTTTTAAAATAGTTAAAAGTATTAAACAATTTCAGCCCGAATTTAAAACCCAAAATTTAAAACACCCAATTTAAAATCATTTACATAGATAGCCCTGTCTGGTGGAACACCAGGGTCTTAAGGGCACAGCGAAACTCACGGAGGTCGGAGATCTTGTGTATTTCCAGGGGCAGTTCGTTCCACAGGGCAGGATACTACCGGTTCTATAGAACCGGTAGTAAAATCGGCGGGAGACTCCACCCACTGACCCCGATGTCATTAAAATGCTTCTCCACATGCTTTTGCACTTGCGCAGAAGAGTGCACGCGCAGCCCCGCTGCGAACTGGTAGTAAAGGTAAGTAGAACCCACCCCTGAATTGGACCAGTTGCCTTTTGTTGTGACTCCGACCCCTGAGCCCGTCTTATTGGAGGGAGAAGACTCCGAAAGTGAAGGAGAGGAGTTGGCAAGGCCTCCCTCTCCAGGACCCTCCTCTCTGGCAATGCCTCAGGTGTCTTCCAAAGGAGAAGAGATAGGCCAGGAGCCAGGCATTTCCGAGCAGCCGCAGTTAGACAGCAATGGAGATAAGTCTTGGCTGGATCCCTGACAGCGTCGGAAAGACAAGCACACGCAGCAGAGAAGGAGGTGTGCCAGAGATTAAGCTGAGTCACTGGACCACAGGGAATAAAAGGGGGTGTGGTGGCCATTCAGGCTTTGTGACGGACAAAACTGAAAGCTAGCAAGTCATTCTGCATTTCTGGAACTTTGTTATATACTCTGCTTGGACTGATTTTTTGGGCTGGACTTGACTATTCTTTGGCTTTTGTGGACTTTGATGTTTTCAGTCGGAGGAGATAAACCTCCCTTTGTAAGTAAAAAACTGTTGGCAAGCAGCCACTGAGTTGCTGCCAATTCTGTTATCAAAGGAAATTCTTGTCTGCTGGTTTATTTTAACTCTTGGTCGACTGCTGGTGTGCGTGTGTGAAATGGGGACAGAACACCTTTTGAAAAAAGCATCTTTGGGACTATCAGTTCTGGGCTGCAAATTTCCAGATGCTTACTAGTGGCAGAAAAGTTTTGTTGCATCACCTTGTTATCTTTGATAATTATCTATAGTTTAGTTGCCCCGATCTTGTACTGTAGTCCTAATACAAAGGCAATGATATTACATCATGTTATTTTCAGTTCTACATAACCCAGGTTTTCTTCAATCTCAGTAAACGGTAATTGAATAACATAACCATCAGTCAATAGACCTTCCAACTTTACAAGCATCTATTCATAATCAATTTACAATGGTAGCTAGCCTCCCAGCATTAAAAGGCAGCTCTGTGTTAGCAGGCCTATTGAAAGATTTGGTCTGGAGGTTGAAATTTTTGATTTTTATGAAATACAAGGCCTCTCTTTTCTTTTTAGAAAATATTCTGCTCTCACACAGATTTATCTTCACGGTTGAGCAGGTTTTTGCCTTAATTGGTATTTCTCAGTTTCTGCATGAAATACTAACTGCCTTCCTTCGCCCCTTTACATATGAGATGGGACTTGAAATTAATAAGCAATGTAGCAGGCGATGTACTTACATGCACTTAAGATGTAGATCTTTCTACTTTGTTGGATGATCTAAATGCAGCAAGATCTGAACGCAAGTAGGTACAGTAGTGCTTCCTATCTAAGACTGCTTAGAGTAATATGATGAAATCGATCCAGAAATTGGGAATTAAGTCAATAACATTTCAGTGAATGTAGTGTGCCTACTGCAGAGTGTTTCTGAGCATTCTGTTGCTACTACAGGTAGTCCTCAATTTACAATTTGGGATGAACACCCTTTGAATGGTGTGGAAGTAGGAATGGATTGCAGACTACAGGAACCAGGAGCACTACTCAAGTGACCCTGAGGACACAGATAAACCTCCAAGTGCTTCAACAACTCTCTAAAAGGATTCAAATGACCAGCTGCAAAGAATATAAATCCTTCCATTCCCCCTTTATCCTGTCAGAGCTGAAGAAGCTTCATGGATGAGAAGTGAAATGTCTTCAAAGAAAAAACAAGAAATTCTAGTTGCCTTCTGAAAAACACACCTTTGGGACAACCATGACCTGGATGACTAAGAATCTCTACAGACTCCTCGACTTACAATTACAACAGTTCATTTAATGACCATTCAAAGTTACAAGAGCACTGAAAAAAGTAACTTTTATAACCACCAGTTCTAGTTAGCACTGATGATGTTAACTAGTTAGGGTAATGAAAACAAGCAAGCTCAGAGAGCACTAAGCACTCCTCATTTCAACCCTGAACTGTAAATATTCTCCTTTATTCATTTGCATATCTTTGGTTCCCAAACTTGGAGAGCTGAAAATATCTCAATATGAAGTACTTGCCATATATAGATGACATCTAGTATGGTTGTGTCCAAAATGATTTATTCTAGTTTATGTATATTGGTTTGTACAGAAGATGTGATGTCTGGCCTTTTGAGGCAGGAATACCAGCCCTTTATGCTATCGTAATATCCCTTCTTCCTCCAGATGTTAACAATAGCATCAGCATAGGGTTATTATTTTATGTTCATAGCAGTTCACAGTTCTCCCTTTGTCCCAATTTTCAATACAATTTGTATGGAAATAAATAAGTTATTTATATGCAGAATTGCATAACCCTTCTCCGCTTCATCTCCGTCAAGGGAGCTGTTCTCCTACTGAAATGATGCTATTATGTAACCGAACAGTAGTTCACCTAGAAAGGCAGTTACATTTCTCGCAATATATTTTGATAAGGAAATGCAGCATTTTCTGATTCTGGCTAATCCCAGGGCCCTTAATGAGTTGCTACCCAAACAATTCCCACTTCAGTGTAAAATTAAAAGCAAAATATGGATAAAATATAAGCAAAGGATCCAAGGCTACTATGTGAGTTTTTGTGTGTTTTCCTCAATGTTTTTTTTTTTTTTAAAAGCAACCAAACTAGAGCACTCTCCATAAATTGAATGGAATTCAAGAGCATTGGAAAGAAAATGCATGTAAACAAACTTCATTCCAAATAACAAATACAAAAACAAGGTATTCTATAGAAAATAAATATAATTGCAGCATATCTCATATGTTAAAATGAAAAAGGCATTAAGTATTACTTGTCAAACAAGTTATTTAGCATAATACAATGCCTTTGGCTTTAATAATGCATTGCAGAACAATTTGCTATAGCTGTGTATTGGAACACACACACACACACATACACACACACAAACACAAAGCTGGAAGTGCAAACTAAAATGACCCATCATATTTTTCAGTACAGAAAATTCCAGATTGCAGCAAACATCCTTTGCAAACTCCCCAGTTTTTAGATTTATTTTATCACAATTTGTCATCCAAAAATTCTGCATGTGCAGTGATAATGTATTCTAATCAAATGAAATATTTTTCCCAAACCCATTGTATTAAAAAAAAAAATTGCTGTCCTCCCCTTATCTCTCTTACTATTTCATTTTCTTCATTGTCCCTTTTTCTTTGGTTACATTGTATTTTCTAACACTAATAGCCTTAATTTTATACATTTCTATATATTTGTTATATACCGGTACATATTTTACATTTTTAGATTCTCTAAAGGGAGGAAAGATACAAAACGGAAAGAAGACCACCAAGAAATATTGTTTAAAAAGAGGATGTATTTATATGTTACTGTATGTGTTTGTCATATTGTGTTATAATAAAATATTTTTTAAAAAAATTGCTCAAGCCTAAAGACACTTACCACAAATCCCTACATATATTTTTCAAGAATTTTCATTTATGTCTATTAGTATAATTTCAGGATAAGCTACAATAGTTATATTGAGTTACTTACTTTTGTCTTTCAACCAGTGATACTTTTCAATTGTGGTGGTTTGCAGCCATTTTTAGAAATTATTCATCATTGTCTTTCTATGAGTAAAAATAGATGGTTGAGTGTCAAGTGTCCAGATCTTAAAACTGGGCCACTGAAAATTAACAATAGTCTGATCAGATATGGAGAAAGAAAACAACAACGAAAAGAATTTATAGCATATTTGATGGCTTCTAGAAGTCTGTTTCATGAGCAATGAAGAACTTACATATCTCTGAAGAAAGGTGTGGCTATTTGCCTCATTAGCTAAGAGTCTAAGTAGGAGGAAATGATATTAACCTAGTTCAAGAACCCATGTAATCTGAAATTTGGTGCAGAGTTTTGGGCAGATGAGCGTTGGCTCATTATTTAGAAGAGTGTTCGCTCATTATTTAGAAGAGACACTGTGGCGCAGTGGTTAGAGTATAGTATGACAGGCTACATCTGCTGATCACTGGCTGCCAGCAGTTTGATAGATCAAATCTCACCAGGCTCAAGGTTGACTCAGCCTTCCATCCTTCCGAGGTCGGTAAAATGAGGACCCAGACTGTTGGGGGCAATATGCTGACTCTGTAAACCACTTAGAGAGGGCTGTAAAGCACTATGAAGTGGTATATAAGTCTAAGTGCTATTGCTATTTACTTTTAATAAATATAGTTCTTAAGGCTAGATAGAATTTTCTTGTATATATTGTATTTCAGAGATGATCACAAAGCTAATAGAAAAACGAAGAGTTTTTTATTTATGGTGATGACTTTGATTTTGCATTATATGTTGCCTTTGCTGCATATTGCAGAAGAAATTCCTTCCACAAATTTCCCAAATAGTTCATTTTAACCCAGAAAAACAGCACACAATTCATTGAAGCACAGATTGTTTATTACAGTACCAGAGGCAGAAAGACTAACCTAAAAAAGAGGGCGACATTCAGTCCCTCTGTATAGAATTATGCAAATTACAATATATATTTAATCTATACAGCAGAAAAAAAAGAGTGGATTATAGTAATATGTGTGTGCTAATGAAGTCAGAATGGTGAGGTAATGTGGCATTACAAAAACAATATTTTTCTGAGTTAAATAAAGTAATCTTCCTTGAGAAAATTATTTTAGTAAGTTACTTTTTCTAGATAGGGATTACCTTTGAAGGGAATGTTTCTGTCTATCTTAACACCATCTTCTCACCAAAAATCTAGTATCCAATTGCAAATATATACAAAATTGCACTTGTCTTTCTCTAAAGCAGGGATATCAAACTCGATTTCATTGAGGCCCACATCAGGGTTGTGTTGGGGGGGGCTTGGGGTGTGGCCAGGGGGGCGTAGCTAGCTTGGTGTCACTCGTGTGATCAAATGCCACTTTTCCTAGTAGTTTGTTTTGCTAGCACTCTGCCGGTGAAAACAGAGCTCCTACACGGCCCTCCCAAGCTCCATTTTTGCTGGCAGAGGCACGTGGGCCAATCCTTTGCTGTTTCCAGGTTGGCCCCACAGGCTAGATTTAAGCACCCCGCATGCCAGATCCAGCCCACAGGCCTTGAGTTTAACAACCCTGCTCTAAAGGATTGATCTGAGTCTGAATCTCAAGAGGCCACCATCATGGGAAACTGTTCAAGACAAGTGACATTTATTCTAAATCTAAGTAGGAAAATTACATGTCTTACTTTTATTTGGAAGGGATCATATTCACCTGTCTCCCACTAGATCTGATCAGAGAATCAGCTCCAGAGGAAGACCAGAACTATTTTTTATTTTGCTATAATAAATAGAAGATTGCTATACTAAATAGATTTTACTTGGATTGCTATAACAAATAGAAGACTGGTTGTGCCATAACTCCCCTATTTTTATACTTCAGTGAACCATGGAGAAATTTCACTTCTGAGAATGATCTTGTTTCCTAGGACTTAAAGACTGTTTCGGCCCGCTTTGCCTAGGAAACAATTCTGCCATATTTCTATCAAAGCCTCATTTCACTATAGTGCTAGATTATTATTTGACCTGGAAATAGAGTTGCCCACTATTCAAAATAATTGGATCCATGCAGTTTTGATGTTCAACATGGTTATTGTTTAGGATAGTTGTTTTATGTTTTATAGATCCAAACGCTGTTGCCAATTCCTCAGGCCCATTGCTGATCGATCTGTAACCTACACCAAAAACCCCTAGTAAAGTCTTTTATACATTGCAGACAAAAGACAAGAGTTTATATGGTGAATTGCAACTACTCTGATTTTAACGATAAATTTTCAATGCACTAATTCACTTTTTCATATTAAACCTCTCAAGAAATTTGCTAGGTTGTTTCCAAGGCAGAAAAGTGAATAAAAGTTATACTTGCTTTATAAAATCTATAGACTTTACTTTTCTTCAAAAAGTTTTTTTTCTGATCTTCACTAAAAAATGTTGACAACTGGGCAGAATAACTTCTAGTAGCATTTCTCCTGCCATGGATCTACTAGAAGCAAAATATCCCTTTTTTTTTTCTCATCAGCATTCTAGGAATTTGATGACCTCATATTCTGCTCTCTACAAAACACCACAAATACAGAGAGCTACGAAAGCCTGACCTTGCTAGTCATAATATGCGATCAGTATGTTGCATTAATATGTTAATGTCTAGATTAACACAATAGCTTTCATCTTGTATTAGCACTGACAAATGTATTATAGTTTAATCCATAATGCAAGTTAATAATCGATGTGGGCTATTGGTGTTGATGTAACTATTTAAGATTCTTTCCCAATTTGGCAACAAAATATGACAAGAATTGTGGTACAAACACATCTGAAAAATAAGTTGGTATGACTGCTCTAGTTAATTCAAAAATCTCCCTTGGCATGGAAGCTGACATTCTGCTTGACCATTGCTTCAGTCATGATATCAAGAACACTAAACAATTATGATTTTATTGCCCTGGTTGTCTCATGGATATTGGTAAGGAAGGGAACCTTTCTAATCAGAACTTGCTGAATCAAAGCACTCAGGAAAGCAAAATATTTTAAACTCTAATTACAAGGAGGTCTGTAAAACCTGAATACCTAAGATAATACAGTCTGCTAGACAAACACTTTCTACCAGTATAGCTGAGTTTGTAAAACTCAGTATAGAGTTAGATTTTAACCTTAAATTGAGACACACACCAAAACTTCATAATGTTTTTCATTTAACATATAAATCACTGTTCGGTCTGGATTAATTACAGGTCAGATAATGGATGGAGAACTTATAGTCAGGTAAATGAGTTTGTACTCGTCTCTTTTTCAAAAGTCACTGCTGCCTTAAGCTACTTTGAAGCCCTCCATAGATCAAAGCATGGGATCTCTTGCCTCATCACATAGCAGAGAATCAATATCTTTTCTTTTGTTAAATTACTGCAAATTTCAGGTGAACTATTTGCACACATACATGCCCTATAGAGATAAGCACAAAGGTTTGATCGGAACCATTCGAGTTAGTGAGCATGAGACCACTAAATTCTTTCGTCAGGCACAATCTTATCTAGGGGTGACATGATAGCAGTGTTCCAATATCTCAGGGGCTGCCACAAAGAAGAGGGAGTCAAGTTATTCTCCAAAGCACCTGAGGGCATGACAAGAAGCAATGGGTGGAAACTAATCAAGAGAGAAGCAACTTAGAACTAAGGAGAAATTTCCTGACAGTTAAAACAATTAATCAGTGAAACAACTTGCCTCCAGAAGTTGTAAATGCTCCAACACTAGAAGTTTTTAAGAAGAGATTGGATAACCATTTGTCCTCCTAGGTCCCTTCCAACTCTGTTATTCTATTCTATTCTATTCTATTCTGTTCTGTTCTGTTCTGTTCTGTTCTGTTCTGTTCTGTTCTGTTCTGTTCTATTCTATTCTATTCTATTCTATTCTATTCTATTCTATTCTATACATGTTCCTGGAAAATAATTCCACTGCAGAGTCATCTTCATAAGGCTCAGGTGTTCTTATGTGTATGATGTACATGAAGAAAGGGAAGATGGATGAAAATATTGTCTCCACTTCTCATCTATCACTGGCCTCCTTGCTTTTAGGGGAGAAAAATGCTTGAATGTTCCCACGTGGCATTCACATTTATAAACCTGTCTCAGGATTCAGAGCAGATGGATACATAATGCTGCTAAGGTCAAAGTAGAGCCTTAGGCATCCATAGGGAAGGGGAGGGAGGCATTATGGCTTCTTTCAGACCTCTATGAACATGACTGCCCCAGATCAGAATATGATGAAAATAATTACAGTATAGGGTGGAAGTAGACTTTGTGTCCCCTTCCCTCTCCTTCACCTTACATGTATATTTCACACATGAGGAGAATGCCTGAAGAGGGACAAATATCTTCTCTGAACTTTATTATTTTGTGCTATTCAGCAAGTTCCCAAGGAAATGTAATGAAATAATTCTCATTAGTACTAATTAAACAATCATGAGAAGTATGGTAAAGTTGGCTGCGCCTCTTCACTGTAATTTTAGAAGTTCATTTTTTGTTAATAATTTTATTGAAGTTTTTAATAAGCATAGTAAATATCACTGCAAATTAAATTAGAAGAAAGAGAAAAAGTGCTGAAAAAAAGAATAGAAGAGAGAGGGAAGAGGAGAGGAGAGGAGGGAAGGGAAGGGAAGGGAAGGGAAGGGAAGGGAAGGGAAGGGAAGAGAAGGGAAGGGAAGGGAAGAGAAGAGAAGAGAAGAGAAGAGAAGAGAAGAGAAGAGAAGAGAAGAGAAGAGAAGAGAAGAGAAGAGAAGAGAAGAGAAGAGGCTTCCAACCTTCATCAACTTCACCCTCTTTGAAAGTTACAGATAAAAAATCTCCTCTCCTTCCCATAGCTCAACTTTTATCTATGGGCAATCCAGAAATCAGCATCTTTTCAATCCTACCTCAGCAAAAAATTACTTAGGCGTTTACTATTTATTCAAACAAACAGTTTATCCCTGGTTAAATAGTCCAACTTTATGTTCCTTTTTTTTTTGCTTTGCATTCTATTGACCTTTAAATCATTCCTGCAGCATCTTTTGATCTTTCATTACTCTTTGGCATTTAAAAGGAGTCTTCAAAGTTTTCACCAGCCTACTTTGTGGTCTACTTTAAAGAGGCATAAGAGGATTTCTTCGCAGTGGTCATTACCTCTGATCATTCACAGAGACATCTTCTATCATATTCTATGACTCACACCAAAAGCTCTAAAAAGTTTAATTCATAAGAAAGCCACAGGCAGTTTTGCTTACAGACAGATTACTTAACATTAAAACTGGCAACATTATCCCATAGAGAAAAATTCTGGTTATTATTATGGGATAACAGAGCAACATGAACTTTCTTCTCCTTTTGTAAAGGTAACTTTTTTCTCAGTGACCCAAATGACTAGTTTAATAATCCCATATTGAGTTGTTGAAAGGTCTGTGCCTCCTAATGGCCTGTATGTATGAAAAGGAAAACAGGTGCGTAGTTGCAACTCACAGAAATAAAAAAACAAATACAGAGCTACTATGGAAGTTGTTTGTCTAAGCAAAGCAAATTACCTCAAGGAGTTCAAATGGAACAGAAATATTCTTAGGCTCACCAAAGGAACTGCTTGATATTTAAGATACACAATCCCAGCATTTCTACTACTGTCACACAGGATTCATTTTCAGCGTGTCTAATTTCCTTCTACATTCTCCAACTTCATAGGCAACAATCTTCTACTACTGGTCAAACATGGATAGGATCTCACATTTGATTTTCTAACCTGTTGCCTGATTGTTTACATTATTTATATTTATTCTATTTTTATTAATCCAATATTTTCTATTTTCTAGGTGGATTAAAGGGAGAGGAGTAGAATCCAAAGAAAGACACCATGAAGTTCACTGATGACAGTATCGTAGGAAATAACAATGAAAAGTAAAGATGTCTCTGAATCACATTTGACTTAAAATGATTAAATGGGTATGTCTCTTTAGTTTTCTCAGTAACACTACAACGGGCACAATGTAAACCGGTAGTAAAGGTAAGTAGAACCAGTGGTGGGTTGCCCCTGGTTTGCACCAGTTCTATAGAACCGGTAGTAAAACCGGCGGGAGGCCCCGCCCACCGACCCTGACATCACCAAAACACTTCTGCGCATGCGCAGAAGAGTGCACATGCACGTGAGTGAAGCGAGTGCACCCCCGTGGCCCGGCTGCAAACCGGTAGTAAAGGTAAGTAGAACCCACCCCTGAGTAGAACTCACCCCTGAAGTGATCCTATTTTTTTATCAACAGCCGCACAAAAAGTGCTGCTGAGTTTTGTCCAAACCAGTCCCTTAGATTTTGCCTGGACCTCATTTACCTTCAATCTTTCCCTGAAGGATTACATGAAGTATGCCATATTTTTCCGGGTGTTGCATCACATTTTGCATCACAAAATATTCTAATTTTCGCTTTTTAATGGTTTCGATTTTTGCCCTTGGCTTTCCCAGGTGGCTTATCACCTCTCATTTCTGATTTTGTCAACCCAGCTTAGATCTTTTGGTCACAATAAATATTCTCATTCTTAGATTTCATTACTATTTAAGTACCCACTTCCACTTCTTTAGGGCATCATTTTCTATAGTTGTTTGTAGTAGTGTGCTGGAACCAACTCATACTGGCTCCAATAGCCAATTGTTAAATTTTGGTTACAGTACAGTATCCAGCGGCCTCACCTTGGAATTTACCTCGCCCCCGCTGACCAGATTCATCCAATGTCCATGGTCAGGTCAACCTTCTCAACGGGAACTGATGGATCTCGAGATCAAGCACCTGAAACAAATCAAGGCCATCAAGGAGGTCCCACAAGACCAAATTCTTGTGGGGAAAGCTGAGCCACAACTGCTGGCATGCCAATCAGCTGTTTGATGGGAGGTAGCACAGCATAGTGGCTACAGTAGAGGTGACAGTGCCTGTGAGACCTGGAGTGGTTGGAGGAGCTCAGCACTGTGCCTTTCAGGGTGGAGGTAGCTGCAAAAAATTAAATAGCAGCAGATCAGGTCTTTCGAGCTGTCTTTATGCATACATTTCTTTTTTGGAGTTGTTAACTATTTGCCACCCCTTGTCAGGAACTGCTTCTTTGACTTTGGAACGCTTCTGTTTGGAATCATCAGTGATACTGTCTATTCACTTTGACCTCTAATCACTCTCTTTTTAAATTCCTTTCACTTTTTTCCAATATTAGGGTCTTTACAATTACTCTTACATTACATGCTCAAAATATCTAAGCTGTAGTTTAATCATTAGTGCTTCCCACGAGGAAGCCACTTTTACTTCATTTAGAATTGAACTTTTGTTCTTGTGGTCTAAGAGATTCCCAGCAATTTTTTCCAGCATTACAATTCATAGACATCCATTTTATTTTGCTGTCTATTTCTCAGATATTTGTTACAATTGACAACCTATATCTATATTGTCAGTGTGATGTCTCTGCATCTTAATATTTAGTCTGTCAAACTATTTCTTTCTTGTAACAATATTCCTGCAGCTGTAACTACAGATCTTTACAAATCTGATATTCAAGAGGAATTGATCAGATTTCAAATTAGACAATAAGCAGTCCCCAATTCAGTGTATCAATCAATTACATCAATTCCATTTGATGTAAAGCAAAACAAAACCTTGAAAGACATCAGCAAAAAACTGTGAACCCTAGATTGGATTTCATGTCTGTCCTGTTTAGAAGCTCATTAGAATGGCAGTTTTGATTTCCTTAATTCCATGCTTTGCACAATTTTACAAGGAAGTTCCATTAATCCATTTATAATTATTCCTACATACCTGTGTAACTTAGTTACTTATTAAGTAAGGCTCATGTCATATCTCAAAAGGGTTCCATTTATATGTAATAATCCCTGTTTTATCCAATTGATATGTGTCTTTGTTTATATTAGAAGTTCTGGACCCAGGAAAATAATAATTGAAAAAGACTGAAAACAGAAATGATAGAGCTGCTATAACCATCAATTGATGGTTTCTTATTTTTTTGCTTGCACATTTCCTGTGAAACTTATGCAATGTTCCCTTACCTTTGTGTTAGACAGAAAAATAGCATGCTTGGATGACTATGCCTGTGAGTGCCTTGTATAAAATGAACAGACCAACTATGGGTACCTTGAATTATCCAAGCCCTTGGCCCAAAGCATTTTTTCATCACAGTACCCAGTAAGGAATTAACACATACTATAGCATTTCATCATGAATGATCAGAAGATGTAATGGCATTGGAAGGGGGGAAATGTCTGGAGGAGATCTCTCCAAATTCTTACCCCCAAACCATTAATTTCTTAGGATTTCTAATGGTGTGCAAAGGGAAAAAAGCAGCGAAAAGATTAAAGGGGTCCTTCATGGCCATATATCTCCCTTACTGATTGAAAATAACTTTTTCAAAACAGCAATGGCATTGGCTGTATATCGTTCTCTATATAGTCCAATGTAGGACAATGGGTTTGAAGAAGTAAGTGACATAAAAACTATAGTTTGATGGCAAACCATAGTTTGCAAGCAGATTCAAGATTCCATTTCTGGAATTTTCCAATAGGTCTGGGAAATAAAATTCCACAGAGCTGTTGCCACTTAATTTTGACAATACTGAAGTAAGTTGTACAATAATGGTCTGGATAAGTATAAGCAGCATCCAGTGCTTCAGATTCTGAATCTGATTCTATAAATCATAAATGCTATGCATAGCGGTTCTCAAAGGGTGGGGGGAAGGTAAAGGAGGAAACATTTCCTTTATTAATAGCCGCTTTACTATATTTAGTTTTTGATTTGTAAATAGAGCAGCAGATTAATTCTAGTCAGTTTGAAGTCTGTCAACTAAATGTAATACCCGTGCTCCAAACACCAGGCATTTATTATTTAGGACTGTTCCTTTCATGTGTTATTTTGAACCAAATAATGTGATTTTATTTATAGCTATTTTTTTCCTAGTCAAAAGAGGTACAGCAGAAGCTGTTGTTTGGCCTTTGCAAATAATGGGGTTTATTTTACAAAAAGCCTTGCAAAAACAACAAATTGAGAGAAGCTCAATCATGAATTAAAGTGGATTTTGTAAGACAAATAGAAAAACAGTGCCATCTTTTGGCTCAGGGAGATAGGATTCTAAGCTGGACATCTTTGGCTATAACCATGTCTCTCTTCCAGTGAACAAAATGAATATAAACAGTGGCTGTGTAATTAGAACAATTTGATGCATCTGCAGTTCACTGCATGATAGCAAGTGCTTTTCCCATTCTCGGCATTGTATTCCCCTCGAGCAGAAAGTGGTACATATGAAGCAAGCATTTCTAGTTATTGCATTTCCAGAAAGAAGCCAAAAAGCTACTGATAAAAGGGAATTAAAGTAATCTTCACTTACCAATTGCCATTCAAAGTTACAATGGTGTAAAAAAAAATTGTTTTTTGTAACCAATCCTCACATTTATGACCAGTGCAAAATTCTGCAGTCATGTGATCGCCATTTGTATATTTTGCAGCTGGCTTGAGACAAGCAGAGTTAACAGAGAATGTAGAAGTAAAATTGCAAGATGTGGTCACATGATGTTTCACAGGAATTCGCTTAACAATCAAGGAGAAGTGAGGTCATAAGCCCATTGTGATTTTCCTCTTAGCAATCATGGGACTTAGCAATAGAGCTGCCAGGCTCAATTGTAGTGGTTAAGCAAGGACTACCTGAATAGCAAGTATATTAACATAAGAATGAGGACATGTGACAAATCTGCATACATGACTTTTGACTGTTATGATTACCAGTCCATCCAAATGTTAAGACTATGATTTGGTAAGTACTACATGGATTGAAACTTGCTTTGTTTGAAGTCTTCCTGAACATTTAACTTGGAAAAAAAGTAAATTTGCTGAGTCACCAAGTATGAGAGATATTTCTCTCTCTTGGAAAAAACACCTTTCTTCTCCAAGATTCCTTAAAAAAGTGCTACTGTGAGAATGGGATGTGACCTTAACATCACAAAACTCAGTTCACCTCAGAAAACATGCCTCCGGCTCAATAAATTTGTTCCTTAAGAGTCAGAGTTCAAAGCACAGAACATACACCACAAACTCCATTGAAGAAACATATTTGGTGTTTGGAGTGGTATCTGGGTTACAGTTGCCTTTTCTGCTGATCTCTGGTTTTCAAAGTTTTACCACTAATTATTTACTATTAGAAATCAGAGGAGGGTTGATTAGTCAAGCCTGCTTATTCTGTTGCTAAACTCACATGAATGTTTAATTTATTGTTTCAGCATTTTATCTCTGGAGTTTACCAGACTTGGCTAATACACTTCTTTATACATTCTTCCAATATGTCTCAGTTTATATAAAATTGTATCTCACAGACTACACATTCTTCAGGAAGGAAAAAATTAAGAGTGCAAAAATGTCACAGTTCTCTGAATAAAATGTTTTTAGTATTAATTAGACTGAGTCCTTACTGTAATATTAAAACCATTTTGGCACCACCACTACCATTTTAAGTGCATTGCATTCCTTTCTTTATGGATCAATTATTGCTTTGTCGTTTGACACCTGTCTTTTTATTGTTACTCTTTTTGTAACCTTGCTATGCCTTTGAAGTAAACAGCCTAAACAAGTTAAACAAATCCCTGTGTTGAAATTAGCCTAAAAGCACCAGTGAACACAAAACTGGATGAAATTACCTTCGCTAAAATGCTTCATTAACCCTACACATGTTAATCAAACTGCTAAAATGAAAGGCTATTTAGATACTAGACATAAGAAAGATTATCAACTAAAGTCACCCTCATTTAATCAAAGGGCACACTCAAAGAAGGATGATGGGCCTGGAGTCCAGTGGATAGCAGGATACCAGAATCAGAGAGACATTCCATTATCAGGGTCAGTAAAAGTTACATCAAACAAGCTAATTGGAGTTGTAGGAATATGTGTGACGGGACATTATGCAATAGTTCACCATACATATAATATTTAAACCAACCGGCATACAATTGGTGTCCCAAGGAAAAGGTTCCAAAAATCCTATGAAGTTGGATTGGATGTATAGCACTGATGACAATTTATACTACTGTTAAGCCTGTAGTAATCAATGAATGTATTAGATGTTGTGGCAGTTTGATAGTTTGGATGTAGTGCCACGCATTTTACAGGAGCAGATAAGAATTAAAAATTGAGCTATACGCAATCTTTCAAATGTCAAATACTGCTTCATAGTTGAAAAACAATTTACTGCAATACGCATCAAATTAATTCAAATAATATAAAGTCAACAATCCATTACATCTATTGCAAACTCAATATTGCAATGAAAAGATACAATTGCAATGAGTTTATAGTGAGTACAAAAGCAAAAGTAATAGCAGCAGTAAAAAAAAGGAAATAGTTAAACTCTCACTGCTGGTGCTGGTCTTACCGCACTTTAAGAAGCTACAGTAGCCAAGCTTAAAGAGAGATTGGACTTTTAGAGAGTTGTTTCACAGTTTATTCAACCACATAATCCTAGATTTACCTCTTGAATGTTTTGTGGCCAAGAATAGTTTCACAGAGACTTTGAATCAATGGACTTCATAAAAAGTGCTTTCAACTAATTTAGTTTACAATTTCATGAAGCAGGAACTAAACTAGGCTGGCCAGATAGATGGCCAAATTTCACCTTTGAATGTAAGCTACTTAATATGGAACTAGATCTAAAATTGTGTGGCAATACTATTTAACCAATAGGCTTCCGCATTTAATTTTTTCATTTTGTGATTCATCTTCTACAATGCTGATAAATAAAGTCTATTTTATCATTCTGTGCTTGCATCAATTTAAGGATTGGTTGCATGTTTTCAAGGTCCTTCTTGTTAGAGTATCTGTGATGGGCTCCATATGTGATGTGCAGTCACAGATACTGATCACGGTATACTAAATTTTTAATTTTATGGCATGCTAGATTTGCAATCCCTTCAGATTTGTATTCACACAATGTCTGTTTCTGAAGTGCATGGGGTTTTTTTAATCTGAGGCCACTAGGCAGAGAAAGGCAGTTGCAAAGAAAATAGCATAAACAAGATCCTAAGAGTGTATAGGAAATTAAGTCTGTTTTGCATGCCCTAAGATATTTTCTGCCTCATCTGCAATGGTCCTTTATCATAGTTGAAACAAATTTTGTCAGTCATACATTTTGCTTTTATCTTCAAACAAATATTTTGGAAGCTCTCTATTTCCCAAGAGAACTGGATATAGCATTGGTTTTTATCTTGATGCTCTGTTCTTTACAGAAACACTATTAAACACCATGTAAATATCTCTGGGTACAACCAGGGGTTAAATCCAGCAGGTTCTGACAGGTTCTGGAGAACTGGTAGCGGAAATTTTGAACAGTTCGGAAAACTGGCATATTCCACCTGGCTGGCCCCAGAGTGGGGTGGGAATGGAATTTTTGCAATATCCTTCCCCCAGGAGTGGGGTGGGAATGGAGATTTTGCAGTATCCTTCCTCTACCATGCCCACTAAGCCACACTCACCAAGCCACACCATGCCCACCAAGCCACACCCACAGAACTGGTAGTAAAAAAAATTGGATTTCACCAATGGGTACAACCCATATTCCATCTCCATTTTTGCTCACCAAATATGGAGCTAACTACTTCCCAGAGCCCATAATGCATCATGAAGAGAGGGAGACATAGTTTTTCATGATTAATACTAGAAGGGAATAGGAATTTACATATCCCATGTACATGATTAGACTTACCAGGTATCCACTTCTAACTGGCTAGTTATCATTTCTAACTCCCCAAAAGACTCTAAACTTGGTTCCAAAATCAAGGTTGACTCTTTTTTTTTTTTAGAAGACATGAATACTTATCAGGCAATTAAGAAAGTAAATTGGCTTTAAATTTCACATCAGGAAGTCTATTAACAACTGGTGTAGACAATATGTATTTGATATTGGACTGACACATTACATCTCAGCAAAACATCTTGGTAAATGACAATATACAGAGGTACAGTCTCTTTCATGTTGTAAAGAGAGCTTCCAGCTACAGGGAATAGAAGCACTGGGTTTTTTTCCTTCTCTGAATCTGTGCCAGTAAATATCAGTTATTCTTAAAATGTTCCTAGAGCTGGACACAATATTTGCAATGAAATATTGAGAGCACAGAATAAGTGGAAACATTACCTTCCATAATTTGAAACTGTGCTGTAATTCACTGATGCAGCCTGAAATTGCATTTGCCTTTTTAGCAGCCATATCCTTCTGCTGACTCATATTCAGTTTCAAGTTTTCACTTTCATCTGCTGTGCTTGCTCCTTTTTTAAAAAAGCTGTTTCTTTGCCAGCTGCTCTTGTAATATCTTTGTCATTTGATCTGATAAATCTTCATCCTAGCTGAAATGTAAGTAGTCATTGCTCTAGTCCTCTTAACTTTTCTTCAACTACCAGTTATTTGGGGCACTAAAAACTATAACTTCATGTAAGTTTTTTTTAAAGCACCACCAATCAAAACGTTTGCTTTATTTCTTGTTCTCTTCACAATTCTCAGAATAGTCAAATTTGATTTAAAAGCGAGGGGATTTCTTACAGATCTTTTCTCTAAACTCCAATACCAAACTTCTGTTGGTTCTTTCAATTCACTTATTTATAGGAAACTGGTGGCCTTATATTCTTCTCATAGTCCTGCAACAGCTTCCACTGACTCAGTTGAAAGCAGCCACTCAATGACCTACAAGAGAAAATCAGAAACTCTTCAACGCTTCAAAACTTAGCATGCAGTTCATCAGTAACAGACAGCTTTCTGAAGGAGAAATTTTCACTTCTAGGGTGGATTTAAACTGGAAATTAAAAAACTATTATACCGAAGGACAAACAGATTTATTGACAGTTCAGTATTGGAAGCATTCACCTAGAGAGGGATGGTGTTACAAGTCTTCTGTATAAACTTATGCAAATTACTTATTTTATCTAATTAGTCATCTCATTACATGTAATTATTATTACAACCAACAATGCACAGTCATTACAGTCATGGTTGAGTTAAATCAGGCATTATATACTGTATATAATAGGAGTAGATATAAAGTGATATAGTACTTCTCTAATAAAGTAAATCCTTTAATGAAACAAAGAGGCCTCATAATCTATAGCAGGGGTGTCAAACTCACATTGTCACAGCCACGTCATGTGACATATCGTGACTTTTTCCCCCTTTGCTAAACCAAGGGTGGGCGTGTGCATTTGGTCCGCGGGTCACCATTTTGACAGTCCTGATCTATAGCAAAATTGTTATTTTTATTAAACTGTTATCAAAAAACTTGGTTTCAGATGCTTCGCACTAACCTACTATTACCTCTCTGGTTTCTTACTATTAACTTTCAACTGCGGCCTTGCCTTCTTTGTTGTTAACACTTTCATTACCATATCAGCAGCTGTTTACCTCAGGTGCTGCTGAATATTCAACAGCATTAACTGCTTTTTGCTAAAT